TAGAGTGGCACTCTACTATGTCTAGTAGTTTTTGTAAATTGTTTAAGTCCTAGTTTTTCTGTTAGAAAATGACACTGTACATGTCCAGTAGTTCTTGTAGATTGTTTAAGTCCTAGTTTTTCTGTTAGAAAATGGCACTGTACATGCCAGTAGTTCTTGTAGATTGTTTAAATCCTAGTTTTTCTGTTAGAGAGTGGCACTGTACATGCCAGTAGTTCTTGTAGATTGTTTAAGTCCTAGTTTTTCTGTTAGAGAGTGGCACTCTACATGTCAGTAGTTCTTGTAGATTGTTTAAGTCCTAGTTTTTCTGTTAGAGAGTGGCACTGTACATGCCAGTAGTTTTTAAGACCTAATTTTTCTGTTAGAAAATGGCATTGTACATGCCAGTAGTTCTTGTAGATTGTTTAAATCCTAGTTTTTCTGTTAGAGAATGGCACTCTACATGCCAGTAGTTTTTAGGACCTAGTTTTTCTGTTAGAAAATGGCACTGTACATGCCAGTAGTTCTTGTAAATTGTTTAAGTCCTAGTTTTTCTGTTAGAGAGTGACACTCTACATGCCAGTAGTTTTTGTAAATTGTTTAAGTCCTAGTTTTCTGTTAGAAAATGGCACTGTACATGCCAGTAGTTTTTAGGACCTAGTTTTTCTGTTAGAAAATGGCACTGTACATGCCAGTAGTTCTTGTAGATTGTTTAAGTCCTAGTTTTTCTGTTAGAGAGTGGCACTCTACATGTCAGTAGTTCTTGTAGATTGTTTAAGTCCTAGTTTTCTGTTAGAGAGTGACACTGTACATGCCAGTAGTTCTTGTAAATTGTTTAAATCCTAGTTTTTCTGTTAGAGAGTGACACTGTACATGCCAGTAGTTCTTGTAGATTGTTTAAGTCCTAGTTTTTCTGTTAGAGAGTGACACTGTACATGCCAGTAGTTCTTGTAGATTGTTTAAGTCCTAGTTTTTCTGTTAGAGAGTGGCACTCTACATGTCAGTAGTTCTTGTAGATTGTTTAAGTCCTAGTTTTTCTGTTAGAGAGTGGCACTCTACATGTTAGTAGTTCTTGTAGGTTGTTAAAGTCCTAGTTTTTCTGTTATTGTTATAACAGGTAAGTTGGTGAAGGCCAGTTATTTGGGTTTGACTTTTCATGAGTCACAAATAAATTTCTTTAAATTCCAGGAAGTCACTTGTGTGTGGAACTGAGTGAGCAGACAGGCCACCAACTCAAGGAATTTATGTGTGAAACAAAGAATCAACTCAGAGACTGATGATACAAACAACACACAATAATTTATTCTACATCCATATACATAATATCTAAATTTTCATTGACATCGAAAGTACTGAAATTGTCTTGAAACAGTTCTACATCAAACACATCAAATTCTTTGTTTCGTTCATGTAACTGTTCATTAAGTAAATTTGCTATCAGATTCATTAATTCTGATACTATGTTGAACTAAATTATTATATTCAGACATACCTCAGTTTAATTCAGAAATCTTGCTTAAAACATCATATACTATATGTTGTTAGACTAAAAATGTCAATCAAAACTTATAGAGAACTTGAGTGTCTGAATAAAGTTATTTAATTATCAGACATGTTTTGTTTCAGTATTTGTGAAACAGTGATGTGTAAAAGTGTTGACTTTGTAATGTGACTAATAGTTGAGTTAGGAATTGTGTTTGAGCTCCAGTTTGGAACAGAAGACTACTTTTGGTCATTATACAAATGGATATTCAGTCTCTACAGTCTTCCTTGATAACGTCACTTCACAGTAACTAAATAATCAGTGTATCTATAGAATTTGACCACTTTAGGCTAGTATTAATTGAGAAGTTTAAATGTTTCTTTTAAACATCTCTTTACTAAAATGTAATACCCATATAAAAGTTGGTTACTTCTACCTATGCAAGAAATATAGTTGTTTTAGAGGGCCTAATATTAAATCTTAGACATCCATATTCTTTTCTTGTTAGGAGTGGAAGACCAAGAAGTTCCAGTTGAGGAACGATGGCACTTCTGCATCAGACAAACTAACCGTTACTTGGGTTTGGCCTTGGGAAGCATGTATGTCAAGAAATATTTTTCTCCAGCTTCAAAGTTGCAGGTAAGAATCAAATAATATACTTGAGCAGTTATCCGTCAAAGTATTTCTTAAAGAAATGGATAACCTAACTGTTTGTCTTTTAAAAACGGTCTATAACCTGATCAGTTATCTAACAGTGTTTTTCTTAATGCTTGGGCTGGAAAAAATATAAAACATCTTATAATCTGGGTAGTTATTTAACAGTGTGTGTGTGTGTCTTAAAAATAACATTAAACTTGAGCATTTCTATCACTGGTGCAATCATTCTCAAGTATACTAGTTTTCTATAGTATACGGTAATCAGACTTGATCATTAAAGTCTGTGTATTTGAGAATGATTGCACCAGTGATAGAAACATTGTTTTCACTTAAAAATATTGTTCATTATTGTAAAGGCTGTAACTTGTAACAAAAAGTTTACTTTTTACTGTGAGTGTATTATCAATTTCATCTAGTGAGAGAGTGGCACTCTACATGTCAGTAGTTCTTGTAGATTGACCTGTTGAGGTATATTGTACAGTTTTAGTATTACAACCAGTATTAGTTTAGCATTTTAGTACTATTGTATCGATTGATTAAAGAAGCTTATCTTTCAATCTTGTATGAATAAAATCTTTATTAAAACTTGTTAGAATATTGTAAAATATATTATGTTTTTCCTCTGTTCAAGGTATCAGATTCTTTTAGTAGGATGATAAAATTACTAGATTCCTTTCAGTTTTTATATAAACAAGTATTAACACCTTCTCTTCACTATAAAAATGTTTAATTTTGTAAAATGTGGAACAGCCTGGGTGTACCCAAACACAATATATTTTTGTTATGTTCTGTGCAGAAGGAGTTGTTAAGTGTGTAAATGTTTTGTACAACTTGCAGAATATTTCCGATATAAATACAAACAAACCTTACCTTCTACACATATCATAATAGTAACTTCTGCACATACTGTTTTCAGGCTCGTACTCTAGTCAATGCTATTAAAGACACTTTTGTGGAAGAGATGGGAGATATTTCATGGTTAGATACAACGAGCCAGGAAATTGCAAAAGAAAAGGTAAAATTTTTCTGTAGTGTCTTTGCTGTAAATTACATAGAAGGTTGCTTTGCCTGCTGTAATTATTTCTTCACAGATTTTGAAGCTGCATACAATGGTCAGAATTGTATCAAGTTTACTTAGTATAATTGCTTCATGTGCCTAAAGGGACTACATATATTATTACAAAAAGAAAGATAAAGAACAATAAAGAAATAATTAAATATTCCAACCTATTTTACTTTCAGTGAAGGGCAAGCGTTTGAATAACTGCTAGAAACAAAATATTACTTACATTTTCATAACTTAGGTATTTTAATAAATTGAAAACACAATCCAGTCATTTGAGTGTTGAAAATAAACAATTAGAAAACAGTCTTTAAAAAAAGCTGCAGTAGATATGTAAAACACATAATTAAGTGCTTGTACATTCATTCAGAAGGATTACTTAGCAAAACAAGTCTTTCTTGCAATATTCAGAAATTTTAAAGCCAATTTTTTAATATTATTCAAAAGTAAAATAAATTTCTTTTTGAAATTGTAGGGAATAACTATTGATCACAAAGATTCAAAGTAAGATAAAATGCATAGATTAGAAATAAGTAGTTATTTTTAGGACATTTGTGAAAAACTTTATTATAAAAAAAATATCCTAAAACATACAGAATGATTGACTTATTAGGGAAATGTGATGTTGAATCTTGAAAAATGAAGAGTTAAGTTTTGTTTGAAATTGTAATTGTGCAGACCATTGAAAACAAAATTTATGTAAGTGGAAAGAGTATTTTTTTCTAATTTCAGGAATTAGTCTAAAAAATCCAAATTGTTGGGTATACAAGACTGTTTAGTTGAAGTTATTATTTAGTCTATTTAATAATTAAAAAATTAATGATTATTTAGTTTTAATAACAAGTGTTAAAAGTTAATTAAATGTAAAGCGATTGCTTTGACAAAATACATAACTCCGTACGAGTTGTACGTAGTGTGTGCAGCTTAATTGTTGTACTCGGCTTTAGTAATATTGTTGACATAATCTTACTTGAAGCTTCTAAGTTTTCTTGTTCTGTGTAATATTGTTGTACTAGGCTTTAGTAATATTGTTGACATCATCTTACTTGAAGCTTCTAAGTTTTCTTGTTCTGTGTAATATTGTTGTACTAGGCTTTAGTAATATTGTTGACATAATCTTACTTGAAGCTTCTAAGTTTTCTTGTTCTGTGTAATATTGTTGTACTAGGCCTTAGTAATATTGTTGACATCATCTTACTTGAAGCTTCTAAGTTTTCTTGTTCTGTGTAATATTGTTGTACTAGGCCTTAGTAATATTGTTGACATCATCTTACTTGAAGCTTCTAAGTTTTCTTGTTCTGTGTAATATTGTTGTACTAGGCCTTAGTAATATTGTTGACATCATCTTACTTGAAGCTTCTAAGTTTTCTTGTTCTGTGTAATATTGTTGTCACCAAAGGGCTAGAAAGTTCTGGGCCTCAGTTGGAATATTTATAAATAGGTGTCCAACAATGTACAAAAAAAGAAAGCAAGTTAAGTGAGAGATAATAAGATGGATCTAGACTGAGTTATTGGCAGTTTAGCTGTGACGGGCTATTCCTAAAGAGGTCATAAGTTAGTAAAAGTGAAGTTAGACTGTGTGTTTGTTAGTTTAGCCATAACAAGCAATACTAAAAGTAAGTTTAACATAGATAAGGAAAATAATTTGTCTTTCAAAGGATGTTCTAAAGTAATTGAATCTGCCTCCATAGACTTTGGAAAGGAGACAATTATTTAAAGTTCTGGATACAACTGTGGTAACCCACAGGGGTAATGTAAGAGAATCTATTGCAGATTGTACAGTAAGAAGCATAGTAGAGAAAAATAATTCATTGTGTCAGTTGGGTTCTAAAGTAATTCAACCAGCCTATGTGGACTTTTGATGTAAAAGAGAATTATCTAAAGCTCTGTATACAACTGTGGTAACCTACAGGATAACATAAGTGAACTTATCACTAATTATATTATGATAACAGAAGAAAAAATAGAATTATTTAAAGTTTAGATACAACTGTGATAACCAATAGTGAAACAAATTTTTGTAAATTCGTTTGACTTGTGTTGAATATATTATTTTAAAACAAGTGGATTGTGTTCTGTCTGTTTATTGTTCGATTTTATTGCCAACAAATCACAGGCACCTGCTGTAAAGAATCCAGCCCTTTCATACATAGACACCTGACAACAAGTCACAGACACTTACTGTAAAGAATCTGGCCCTTACATACATAGAAACCAAACCATATTTGAGAAAGATGAAGAGGTTCAGTATTTTGTGAAAAAAAAAAAGTCTGAGCTACTTAGAGAGATAATTTTTCATAACTTAAACTGGCACAATTTTTTTGGAATGTGAGTATTTGACATAAACTACAATGTTATGGTTGTGATTGTGGTTCTAAACTGTTCAAGTAATCTCTACTGGAAGGTATAGTAATTATATCATTACCTCTAATATTTATTTATTTATCTACTTTTTTAAGATTCTCTCATCATCTGTATTGCTTGGTTATCCTGAACTTATGACAGATTATCATGCAGAGGTAGGTTTATCTTAAATTGTGTAACCTACATTTTTATTCTGTTTAACGTATAATTTAAAAAAATTTCTAATTTAAAAGTTTCGCACTGTTATACACACACACACACACACACACACACACACACACACACACACACACACACACACACACACACAC